CCCAGGCTGGAGTGCTATGGCCCAATCTCAGCTCACTGCAACCTTTGACTCCAAGGTTCAAGCAATTCTACTGCCTCAGCCTTTCGAGTAGCTGGGATTTCTGGCATGTGCCACCACACCTGGCTAGTTTTTGTATTTTTAGTGGAGACCGGGTTTCACCGTGTTGGCCAGGGAGGTCTTGAACTCCTGACCTCAAGTGATCCACCCGCCTTGGCCTCCCAAAGTGCTGGGATTACAAGCATGAGCCACCGAACCTGGTTGAGCCTACCTCTTTAAAAAAATAAACATGTTGGCTGGGCACAGGGGCTCATGCCTGTGATTCCAGCACTGTGAGAAGCCGAGGTGGGCAGATCACCTGAGGTTGGGACTTTGAGACCAGCTTGACCAACATTGAGAAAACCCGTCTCTACTAAAAATACAGAATTAGCTGGGCATGGTGGCACATGCCTGTAATCTCAGCTACTCGGGAGGCCGAGACAGGAGAATCACTTGAACCCAGGAGGCAGAGGTTGTGTGGTGAGCTGAGATCATGCCATTGCACTCCAGCCTGGGCAATGAGAGCAAAACTTCATAAAAAAAAAAAAAAAAAAAAATTAAAAAAAAATGAAGGTGCCACATTCTGCAAAGATAAAGTTGCAAGAAAAAAAAATGTCACTAATCATCATATCTATTAATGGTTAACTTTCTTGCAAAACCACCAGAGAAAGCTATTGGCCATGCAAAGTAGAATTTACAAGGCTAATTGCAGCAAGGGAGAACAAAGTTCAGTCATGGCTCACTCAAAGTTCAGTAGTGACTCAACAGTGTCACAAAGGGGAAAATGATGTAAGGGTATTTGAGGTAATGCATTAAAGCAAAGAACTGGGCAAAACTGGGCAAAGGGCTAGGTGCAGTGGCTCACACCTGTAATTCTGGCACTTTGGAAGGCCAACGAGGGTGGGTCACCTGAGGTCAGGAGTTCAAGACCAGCCTGGCCATTCATGGTGAAACTCCATCTCCACTAAAAATACGAAAATTAGCCAGATGTGGGGATGTGTGCCTGAAATCCTAGCTGCTTGGGAGGCTGAGGCAGGAGAATTGCTTGAACCTGGGAGGCAGAGGTTGCAGTGAGCCGAGATGGCGCCATTGCACTCCAGCCTAGGTGACAGAGTGAGACTCCATCTCAAAATTAAAGTAAAATAAAATTAGATAGAGAGTATGTGATAATAGTGTAGGATTGGTGAACACAGCAGAATGGAGGTCTTGAGACAAGTCTTGAGAAGCAAACTTGTTTGATAAGTGAGATTTTTGCTCAGGTGAGCTGTGTGGCATCCTGAGAGGAGAACTATTTGCCCAGATGAGCAAATTGTTTGCCTAGATAAATTGGATTTTTGGATTTTCCTGAAGCAAACAATGAGTTCTTTACTGTTTCACAGTCTTCTCATTCCAGGCAAGACTTTTTTGGAAGTCAAAAACAGGTAAGTCATGTTGAAATACATGGTCTCAGTTCTCATATCTAATAGAATTTAAGATACCTACCTCATTAAATAGACAATCAATGAATGCATTTTCTTAGCTGTCTCATAAAAGTATTATTTTGCATCTGATTCCTCAAGTCAGGATCCAAGCGAGGTCCACAAATTGCATTTGATTTTGTGTGTTTAAGTCCCTCTTAAACTCTAGCTTCCCTCACTCTTTTTTCTTCTCTCAAATGTATGTTTTGGCGAAGTCAGGTCATTGTCTTGCAGTTTCCACAGTCTGGAATTTGCTGGTTCCATCCCCACAGGTGTTTAACATGCTCTTTTCTCCTCTAAGTTCCTTTCAATTTGGTAGTTACAATGGATGCAGGCTGGGTGCAGTGGCTGGCACCCGTAATCCCAGTACTTTGGGAGGCCAAAGGGGAAGGATTGTTTGAATCCAGGAGTTTGAGTGCAGCCTGAGCAACATGGTGAAACTTTGTTTCTAAAAAAAATAAAACAAAAATTAGCCAGGCCTGGTGTTGTGCCTGTCAGCCCAGCTACCTGGGAGGCTGAGGTGGGAGGATCGTTTGAGCCCAGGAAGCAGAGGCTACAGTGAACTGTACTCCAGCCTGGGTGATAGAGCAAGACCCTGTGTCAAAAAAAAAAACAAAAACAACAACAACAAAAAAAACTGATGCAGGATGGACAGGCCCCCAAATTAGGGTTTAGGCTGGGAGGGTTCTTGGCTTTGACCAGGAAAGAATTCAAGGGCGAGCCCTAGGTGTTAGGAAGTAAACTTTTATTGAATGGTACTGCTCCCTGCTGAGCGGGGATGACTCATTGGCAGTGTGCCCAGAGTTGGCAACCTGAGAACTCTTGGCAACTGCATTTCTACTCTTACAGCCACTTCAATTAATGCAAATTAGGGGGTGGGTTCATGCAAATTAGGGGTTGGGTTGATGCAAATTGGGGGGGTCAATGCAAATTAAGGAGTGGGTTATTTAAGAAGTTTCTGGGAAAGGGGTAGCAACTTCCAGATCCTTGCCATGGAAAGGTGTGGTAACTTCTGGGTCATTGCTTTGGCATTTGTAAGCTGTCATGGTGCTGGTGGGAGTGTCTTGAGCTAACGAGCAATAAGGGCAGCTAGGATCGCTTTTGCTACCGTTTTCTGTTTTTGTTCAATTTCTTCACTTTATTCTGTCTGGACTAGATCCTGTTTTAGTCAGCGGGGCTGTGACCAGAAAACAAGTCTTGTCAATTGCCTACCTTAGAATTAGTGATCTAAGCTATTCAGCTTTTAAAAACCTGACAAACGGCAATTTGGAGGGTCTCCCACTGCCGGTTTTGTCTTCCTCCAGCCTATTCTCAACATAGCAGCTAGGAGGCTCCCGTGGGCAAGATAAGTCAAAACATCTTATTATTATCATGCCCGTACATAAACTTTTTCTTTTTTTTCTTTTCTTTTTCTCTTCTTTTCCCCTCCCTCCCTTCTTCCCCCCTCTCTCCCTCCTCCATCTGCTTCCTTCCCTCTCTTTTCCTTCCTTCCTTCCTTTTTTATTTTCTCTCTCTCGCTCTCTCTTTCTCTCTCTCTCTCTCTCTCTCTCTCTCTCTCTCTCTCTCGACAGGGTTATGCTCTATCATCTAGGGGGAGGAGTGCAGTGGCATGACCTCAGCAAACTGTCTGCCTCCCCAGTTCAAGGCATCCTCCTGTCTCAGCCTCCCAAGTAGCTGGGACTACAGGCACGGGCCACCACGCCCAGTTAATTTTTGTATCTTTTGTAAAGACAGGATTACACTATGTTAACTATGTTGCCCAGGCTGGTCTCAAACTCCTGAGCTCAAGCGATCCACCTGCCTTGGCCTCCCAAAGTGCTGGTACTATAGGTGTGAGTCATTGCACCCAGCCCTAAGTTAAAATTTGATTTTGGTGTGCTTCTTCTTCCTCTTTAGGGAGATTTAGCAAACTGACACAATGGGGACTGGCTGCCTAAGGACAAAGACAGGGAATTAGCTAGAGTAGCACTTAAACTGCAAGAGAGTGGTATAAATCAAAGAAAATGACTAAGGCAAGTCTTAATTGCTTTATTTTTTATTTTTGCCAAGGTTTAGGGCATGTCAAGGAAAAAGAAACACAAAACCACAGGAACATCTGTGATCTCTGCTTTTTCCAAAGAGGATTTGGGGACATCAATATTTAAAGGGGGGAAAGGAGTGGGCAATAGGAGAAAGAGGAAAGAAAAAAAGGAGAGCAGATAAAAAGGAGAAGCGGTTGCATTCTTTTGAGGCTTTGATCAGCCTTCACCGAATCCACATTTTACATGTGAAAGGAGAAGGTAGAGGAACAGTCAATTGTGCAGTCATCTTGCCCTCAGTGAATCTGCATTTTTTTTTCTTTTTTTGAGGCGGAGTTTCACTATGGTCGCCCAGGCTGGAATGCAATCGCATAATCTTGGTTTACTGCAACCTCTGCCTCCCAGTTTCAAGTGATTCTCTGCCTCAGCCTCCTGGATAGCTGGGATTACAGGGACCTGCCACCATGCCCGGGTAATTTTTGTATTTTTAGTAGAGATGGGGTTTCACCCTGTTGGCCAGGCTGGTCTCAAATTCCTGACCTCAGGTGATACACCTGCCTTGGCCTCCCAAAGTGCTGGGATTACAGGCATGCACCACTGTGCTGGGCCAGATTTGCATTTTTACATAAAATAAACTAGACATCTGGAAGAGGAAGCAGTCAAATAGGCATTTATCTCAGGTGAGCAGAGGGATGACTTCTGGTCCTGTGAGGACAAGCTGTTAATTACATTGTCAGGGTGAAACTCATCAACAGAACTGTTTTTAGGGTAAAGATCTTGGGGCCCACAAGGAATTTCCTTGTGGCCAAATTATGAGCAAGGCCTGCTGGGGAGGTGTATAGTCTTCTCTCTTTGCAGCTGTGTATTTAGGAACAAAATCGGTGGCAGTTTGGTGTAACTCCATGCCCAAGCCTGGCTTTTCCCTTTAGCATAGTGAGTTTGGTGTCCCAAGATTTTTTTTTCTTTTCTCGGTGGGTAGAACTAGAGAACTTTCTAGAAAGAGCTTGGTTGGCATATATATACTATGGCCAAACTCCCCAGTCTTTTGGGAGGGGAATAAAGGCTTGCAATAAAAGTCTCTCCTCCCACCTCCGGTGCCGTTTACTGTGTGCCAATTAAGCCTTAGTAAAGGTTTTTTTTTTTTTTTTTTTTTTAAAGAAGAAAATATCAATCTTCCCCTTACCCTCACCATCTTTTACTTTGCTCTATACACCTCTGTATCATTTGAGTCTTTTATAATAAGAAAAGATAGAGCTTATATATTTTTGAGTAATAAGTAAAATAAGCATAAGAATTTTCCAAAAAATACTTCCCCCCGGTAGTCACAGGTCCCCATTCACCATACCCTAATGAGTCCTTCCTCCCTCTCTCCCTCCCTCCCTCCCAAGTCCACTGCAGAGTCATTAGGTCAGCCCCTGGGAAGGGAAGGAATGACGTAGAGTGGGAAAGGGACAGACAGGACACAGAGTAACGGGGACCACTGTAATGAGAGAATCTGTCTTTTTTTGATGCAGACTCACATCCAGGCTGAAGTGCAGAAGCATGATCATGGCTCACTGCAGCCTCAGCCTCTTGAGCTCCTTGTTTTGTTTTAAATAAAAAACAAAATTCTAAGCCATGGCCCCCTCCCACCAACCATCTGAATAGACCCCTCCTCTCAGTCAGGGCTTTAGAAAGTTAACCTGAAAAACTGGTACAGGCCATGCCGGGAAGGAAGGGTTGACCATGCCTCATTATACCCTCCTCCCTTTTGGATTTTGGGAAAAGCTGACCAGCATGAACATCAACACAGATCATAAGTCTGATAAACATTTACAATGTATTCTCTCTGAAGTCTGCTACTTGGTAGCTTCATTTGTGTGATAAAACTTTGGTTTCCACAATCCCTTATCATCCTAACCCAGGCATTCCTTTCTATCGATTCCAGGTCTTTAGATGATAACTCTTTTAACCAATTGCCGATCAGAAAATCTTTGAATCTATCTATAACCTGGAAGTTTCCTCTATTTTGAGTTGCCTTGCTTTCTGGACTGAAACAATGTACATCTTACATGTATTTGATTGCATCACGTCTTCCTAAAATGTCTAAAACTAGACTGTGCCCTGACCACCTTAGGCACATATTTTTAGGGTTTCCTGAGGGTGGTGTCATGGGCCATGGTCACTCATATTTGGTTCAGAATAAATCTTTTCAAATATTTTAGAGTTTGACTCTTTTTGTGGACATAAGTGATCATCCCACTTCAGCCTCCCGAGTAGCTGGGACTATAGGCGAGCACCACCATGCCAGGCTAATTTTTGGATTATATTTCTTTGGAGAGATGGGGCCTAACTATGTTGCCCAGGCTGTTCTCGAACTCCTGGGCTCATGGAATTCTCTCGCCTCTGCCTTTCAAAGTGCTGGGATTACAGGTATGAGCCACTGCAGCAGGCCCATGATTGGAGAATTTGGAGTCTGATTTTTCTCATTTGGCCATACCTCCTAGTGTTGGGAAAAGCAGCAGAGGAGAAAGGACTTACAGAGTGCCTACATAAATTGGTTATGAGTAACACATAAACAAGGCACAACAAACTGTGGAAGGCCACAGGAGGCCTCTGAGGAGGAAGGCCTCTCCATGCCTCATGTTCCGCTGCAGGGTGACCTAGGCTCTGTTACCATAAACACTGTGCTCAAGGACGTAAAACCCCTTTGTAGCACTATGACGTAGCCAGACTTGTAAGTCTCCTTGTAAGGTCCATGTTTCATCAGCTGTACATAGATAATAAGCTAAAGATAACTACACGTTTTTGTTTTGTGAAACTCCTAAACTACCACTGTTATCGGTCCTTAGGATGACATACCGGTTTTGACTCACTGATTCATCCACCATCACTCCACCCCTACCCTATAGATCAAAGTGATTGTAATCAATAGTGTGGATGATCAGAGCTCGGGGCCTTCGCTGTCTCCTCCAGTAATGAGTGATGGCCCCCTTGTCCCACTTTCTCTCTTAATCTGTCTTTTTCTCATTCCTTTGTCACCACTGAACTCGAGGCACCCACGTGTGATGTAGGGCTGGTTCCCTACATCCTAGGACCCCAAAACAGCAGCCTTAAGATTGCGCTGGGAGTGCTCTGGAAGAGGCTAATGCTAGTTACTTTTCCAGCTAGCAGGAGGAGTTAGCATATTAGATTGAAAGGAAAATCAGACTTTAGGTCAAAATATCTAAGTTCTTGCCTTGGCCCTGGCCATAGCTAAATGTAGAAAACTCACTGAAGTTTTCCAGATCTCAAATTCTCTTTCTGGAGAATGGGTGGTTTAGAGAAGATGAATTGTAAAGGCTCTTTTAGCACTAAAATTCCACTTCTATTGTTGAAACACACAAAATCACAGCAGAAATGTTTATTAGTAATGACTACTGCATACAAAAATCACAGCAGAAATTGTATTAAAAATGTCAAATACATTCATAGTATCTCTGTTCTCCCTTAAATTCCCACCTACACGTCAACTTGTTGAACCCCAACAGTAAGAAGGCTCCCAGTCAAAGATGTCCTCAGAGCCAGGTCCAAAGTGCCTTCTTAGGAAAAGTGAATAAATGATGGCAGCAGCAATGGCAGCAGTAGCTGTAACCCCCAAACAGGAATGGGAAGACAGGTTGCTCCGTTTTCAGTCTTTCGAGATTGAGTAAGAAGCTGACGTGGGCACACTTCCCTCACAAACATGGGCCCTACTGCTAAGATTCCAGACATCAGCCTACAGTCAATCATGGCTGTACAGCCTCTGACCTCCACAGATGACTCAATGCCACCTATGGAACAAGGAAGGATGGGGAGAGACAGAGATGTTTTAGGAAATCAGAGGAGAATCCAGTCCTCCCTCATCCCTGGAGAGCTCAGTGTCAGAATCTCTTGGGAGCTACTCAAATGTCTGGTTTTCCAGGCTCTGAAACGATCAGATGTTCATTTCAGTTTACCTCCAGTGATCTCAAGTTTTCCTTGATAGCATCGAGTTGTACCATTGGGACAGGGAAGAGAAGGAGCACTGAAACAAGTCCCCAAAGCCACACAGGTTGGGCAATGGAGGGTTGCTGACACAGTGGAAGCTGAAGGGAAACAAGAGAGATGGTTAAGGGCAGGTCCTGTATCCAGAGATGTCGTTCCTTGCTGTCTTCTCTTCCCCAGGTTTTTCCTGCAGATGCCACTCTAATCAAGGCCCATTACTGCAGCCTCCCCATCCCTCCCCAGCTGGTGTTCTCTGCTGTGAAATCTCCATCTATTGGGCTTCCAAACTCTGTGCTGAGGTGTGAAGATACAGAGATGAAAACAACATAGTTCCTGTCATCTAGCATCTCTAAGAGAAAGACATGTAAGTAATTAACTCAGTAGCTGCTGTGTTCAAGGTATAATGACAAAGGAATGGAGGAATACTGAACTACCTAAAAGAATTTGGTAAATATTTTCAAAGAGCTGATACCTGAGTTGACATGAGGATGAATAGGGGCTAGCTATGTGAAAATGGGGTCTGGAGGAGTGGTAAAGGAGACAGCAAGGACAAAGGTCAGGTGGTATGAGCCAGTTTGGTGGATCTGGGGAAATGTGAGAAGTTGCAGGGCTGATATTCAGCTTGTAGGGACAGCTGTTTCCTTGAGCTGTTTCTATTTGTTTGTTTTTTACGGCCGGCATCCATTTTGATTGGCTAGTGCCATCTACATTGTTAAGCATTTTGAGTATTAGCCCCAGTTAGCACACAGTAAATGAGAGAGGGAAGAGAGGAAAATGAAGCTGAAAAGACAGGCAGGGCCAAGTTACTATAGGCCTTGTAAATTTGGGGAGCTGGGCTGTTCTCATGCAGCAATGGGAAATCAATACTTGTTAGACTGATAATACCACCCTACTCAGAAACCTACACTGATGTCTGATTGCTTTTTTTATTTTATTTATTTATTTGAGACAGAGTCTTGTTCTGTCTCCCAAGCTCGAGTGCAGTGGTGTGATATCGGCTCACTGCAACCTCAACCTCCTGGGTTCAAGCAATTCTCCTGCCTCAGCCTCCCCAGTAGCAGGGATTACAGGCGTGCACCACTATGCTAATTTTTGTACTTTCAGTAGAGACGGGGTTTCACCATGTTGGCCAGACTGGTCTGGAACTCCTGCTCTCAAATAATCCACCCACCTCGGCCTCCCGAAGTGCTAGGATTACAGGTCTAAGCCACCGCACCCGGCCTGTCTTATTGCTTAATAAACACAAAACCCAATTTACACTCCAGCCTTCGCTGGTGTCTCCCTGCTCTGAGAAGTGTTTAGATCCCAAAAAGCAATTCAAAAAAAGAAAATTACTTGAACTGTGAGATACTTTGGGATGGGGCCACTTAGACTAAGCCAAGTCAGAATTCAAAGAGGGGCCATACACAAGCTCTTTATGGGGTTCCTCTTGGCATCTATCTCCCTCACTTCCAGGGTACCTGTGGTCCCACTGAAGTCCCAAAAGTGAGACAGGCCATCTTTGTCATTACAGAAGGAATCCTCGCAGTAGTTACTGTAGGAGATCACGGTCAGGCCAGGAGGTGGAGAGTGCTGGACAATCGTTATGGCCTCCGCCTCTTCCAGGATGCAGCCCTTCGTGGCCAAAATGGCTGTCTCAGTCCCTGTTATGAGACAGGAGGGACAGGAAATGGATGGTGGCCCTCACCATTGGCCTGGGAAAAGGGGACAAGCATTGGCATGGACATAATCACCCTCCCCCTGACCTGGCCCAGCTGTCCTATCTCATTTCACCTGCTTTAATCATTAGCACGGTTTCCTGGCAAAGTGTCTCTCTGTCACAAGTCTCAACTTCCTCTGTGGTCCAGTTAAACATATTGCTTGGATCCGCTTCCAGAGTCATAGACAGACCCTTTTGACAATGCAGCTCTAGGTCCGCTGGGGAGAAAACGAGAAGATAAGCACTTCTCCATGGGCCAAGGCAGCTCCTTTTTCATCATCAATCCACCTTCTGTGACACGACTGCTCTCCCCTATGTCCCCCATACGCACAGGTCAGGAAGGAGGTTCCTAGGACCAGGAGGATCAGCAAATGCTGGATACGAGGGGTTCCCATGGCTTCTTCTGGAGAGGTTTGGGAGGAGCTGGTCGGGATCTGTGAATTTGATGGAGAGAATGCAACTTTACAGCCAGAGCGTGTGAGATCAAATAAATCTAGGTCCTGGCAAGTACTGAATTCAGGGTGGGGTGTTTTCATCTCTTTTTTTTTTTTATTATTATTTTTTATTTTTTTAGATGGAGTCTCATTCTGTTGCCCAGGCTGGAGTGCAGTAGCTCAATCTTGGCTGACTGCCTCTGCCTCCCAGGTTCAAGAGATTCTCCTGCCTCAGCCTCCCGAGTAGCCAGGATAACAGGTGCCCGCCATCACACCTGGCTAATCTTTTGTATTTTTAGTAGAGATGGGGTTTCACCAGGTTGGCCAGGCTGGTCTTGAACTCCTGGTCTCAGATTATCCGCCTGCCTTGGCCTCCCAAAGTGCTGGGATTCCAGGCCTGATCCACTGTGCCCGGCCTCACAGTGGGGTCTATGGTGTATATGACCATGACCCCTGAAGTCGATCTGCCCCTAACCAGCTTGTGAGCTGGAGCGAGTTCACAGGTTTATCATGTTTTCATGGTTTTAATTCTTAGGCCCGGCCACCCAGTGCCCCCCAACTTCAAGGTCAGGAGTGTGGTCCCGAAGGCCACTTCTCCCTCAGCCTCAGGGGTCCAGGTTCACCCTCACACCCTCTCAGGGACCCAGGATCTCAGCCCCCAGCCCCAGCCCCATCAGAACCCGGATTCTGAGAGCCCAGCCCCGTCCTAGGTAGGGATCATGGAGTTTGGGTTCCAACCACCTTTTCCCGCGGGACACGCCATTCTGGGATGCTCCCCTCTCAGCCCCGGGAGCCCAGGCCCCTAACCCTTTTTCCCCTCAGAGCCAGAATTTCGGTCCCCAGCCTTCTCTTTCCTCAGAATCCAGGAATCTGAGTCCCTAGCCTTCTTTTTCTTTTTAAAGAGACAAAATTCCCGCAGGCTTCCAAACGACGCCTCACAAGAATCCGACGACGCCGAAGGTGCGGCCTGGAACGCCTTCTTCCCGGGCCTGGCCTTCTCTTACCACGGAAGGCGGGGCCAGCCTGGCCACACAGCGCTCGAAACTCCATTGGTGGACGCAAAAGCATTGGGTAAGTTCATTGGATGAGCCTGGAGGAACGTGGCACCTCATTGGCCGCAGAGAAGTCAATTCCTGGCAATCTTGGAGGACGCGCATGCTCGGAAGGTGGGTGGCGGGCAAACTGGTGGGAAAAGCCTGCCTGCTTTTGCAGCCCCAGGTATGCAATGCAGGGTGGGCAGTGCGTTGCCGGATGGCCTAGTCTGGCCCTTTTCTCTCTTGTCTCTGCTTCTCCAGCCATACTAGGAGG